AAGTATACTCTCCCCAGGTCATTCACAGTAGTTCTGACCTTAATATATACACTGAACATCTATTCAATCAAATAAAACTTGATCATCACAGATGTTTAAGACCTTTGCCTTCAAACTTATTTTTTGCCTTTCTTTCATTTTTCCAATGCAATTTGTTTTTCTTCTTTATAACAGAGTTCGCTGAGGAGAAGACATTTGTTGCTTTCTAGTAAGTTAAATTCTTAGAGATTATCATTTTAAGCCACTATGTGTTTTTAAGGTGAATAATTGCTCTGAAAGAGTTTAAGAAATACATCTTGAAGAATTTGACTTTAGTAGCTCTTACTTCAATAGTTTCTACTTAGAATTGTATGAAAGCTTTGACAATTTCTATTATGAGCTAAATTAGTTTCAAATAACAGACCAAGACATATTTAATGAATGAAATATGAAAAGGACATTTTTTGGCAGTCAACACTTTCCTAAATAAAGAATTAGGGAAGAAGGAGAAAGGGAGCAGGAAGTTCTGTTTTCCATTGCTGGGTTTTTAATGGTCTTGAAAATGTCCTGGTCAAAAAAAGAAACAAAAGTTCTTTTATGTCATTACTGTGGGAATGATCCCTGTAAGCTTTTCTTTGTCTAAAAAAGTCCAGTAACCCTGCTACTTTTCAGAGGTTGTGGTCTTTTTCATTTTTCTTAAATAACCAACATCCTAGAGTAGAAGAGAGATTTCCCCTTTCTCTTTAGTCTTCACTGATTTTTTTTTAATTTGAATACAGTTTTGACCCTCACCATGCTCGTCAAGCTTATCTTTGTCATTAATAACAATCAAATCTTTTTTTTTCAATCATTTTAAAAATAAAACACATGTTCACAGCTTTTAATGATATCCAACAGATTTCTTGGGGAATTCTTCTCTCTTGAGATAGAATAATCACTATTACTGTTATTGTCCTCCTATTGTTCTTCAATTTGCTCGAGCAGGCCCAGTAACATCTCCATCCTGAGGCTTGTTGTTACTGTATTTGGCATATCAGATACATCATGGGTAGCTTGCCAGGCTTTGCCGTGTGGGCGAGAAACTCTTGGTAGCTTGCCGGGCTCTCCAAGAGGGGTGGAAAAATCGAACCTGGCTCTGCCAAGCCAGCCGCGTGCAAGGAAAACGTCCTACTGCTGTGCTATTGCTCCAGACCAGGAGATTGATTTTTAATTTCTTGTGGATGCATCTCTTGACTTTTTAGTCCTCTCAACAATCTCAAAATGTAGGCATTTCTTACTGACCCGACTGTTGACTTTGTGAGTTTTTCTTACAAGATTTTCTCTTTTAAAAATTGCTTCTTATTCTCTGAAACTCTCTATGGAGTGTTTCAGAGTAAATTTGCAGTTCAAATTCTTTCTTTCAGCTGTTGGCTTAAATTTCCCAAGTCTCAGGTATATTAAATTGGATTTATCAACATTTCCCAGGCCCTTTACATACACTTTGCACTGAAGCACATTCTGCTCCCCCCCCAAATATTTCACCCTAGCGGAAGGATTATTTTGGTTACAGGAACTTAAAAAGTAACAACCGATAAAGAAGATACTCTAATCTCTCCTTTAATTTCTAAAACAGGAGATAAAAACTCCCATGTGGAACGTGTACTCTATATACCAGGGAGGGAAAAAAAAAGAAAAGAAAAGAACATTCTTCAATAGGGAATCAAAGCTTAGAGAATTCTGTACAGATCTCGTAAAAAAGTGTTTTTATCGTCTTTTAGCCTTCTTACTCATTATACTTTTTCATAGTTGCCTGTCTTTGCTCAAATGGTATAAAATAGTCCTCAATTTGCCACCTCTTTCAGCTCTCATTTTCTAAAGAGATGGGTGCTGCTTTATAGATTGTTTGCATTCTCCTGTTAATTTTCCTTGCATGGGTTTAATTTTCAAAATAAACTGGAAAAGTCTAAGAAGGTGAAGAGAAAAGTTTTGCCCTCTCTACTGCCTTGGTTCTTAAACTGTGACTCACCATCTCTTGGGGTTGTGTAACTGAACTGGTAAAACTTTATTTTAGGGGTCAAGTAATTGTACAATAGATAGAGCAGTTGCCTTCCACACACCCAAATTGGGTTTAATCCCTGGCACCATAGGAGTGATCTCTGAGCACAGAGGCAAAAGTAAGCTGGAAGAGAAGCCAGGTGTGGCCCTGCCTTCTTCCTCTTGGTAGTTCTTTCCCTTGCATCAGCAGCTGAGTTGAGCGCAATTCCCAGTACCATGAGGAGTGATCTCTGAGCACAGCCAGATGTGGCTTAAATTTGCCTCCCTCCTCTCAAATTAAAAAAAAAATTTCTAATTGTCTGACAATCTAGGTAAAATTATATTTAGCACACTATTATATAACAATTTATACTGAAGAATGTTTGTTATAAGATTATTCGAATGAGTTTAGTACATCTCAAAAAAGTATATGTTCTCTTGCATTATTAAAGTAAGGTCAACTTTGATTTTAGGATAAAGTGGAATAGAGTATAAATTTTTATGTAATAAAAAATCATGTAAAAGAGTTTTTGAACGAGTCTACTGCTTTTAATATTTAATGATCTTTTGGGCATTTTGAACTTAGTTCAATTTCTTTTAAAAAAAACATTATGCTGGTTTCCTAGAATAGATTTTTAGATTATTTTTGCAGTTAAGGTAACATGTTTACAACTATGTAAATTGTCCAATACCCTCCTCCATCAATGTCTTTATGTGGTTTTCTTGCTTGCTTTTTGGGCCACACCCATAGATGCTCAGGATGTATTATTTCTAGTTCTGCATTCATGAATCACTCCTGGCGGTGCTCAGGGATGCCTGAGGTGGAATCTGGGTTGGCAGCATGCAAGAGAAGTACCCTATTCGCTGTACTATTTCTCTTTCTCTCTTCGTGTTATTTCCCTTCTGTCTCTTCCTCCCTTCGCCCTCCTCCTTCCACTGCTGAGTAATCTCAGTTATACTCCAAGGACAAGGGTTTATCATTTTGGTTACTGTCTATATTCTCGTGTTTTGTCTCCATATCCTAGAGATGAGTGAGATAATCCAGTACTTGTCCCTCTCTCTCTCATTCTCTCTCCTCTCTCTCTCTCTCTCTTTCTCTCTCTCACTTTTTTCCTCTTAACATGATATTAGTTTCATCCATGCTGTCTACCTTCAGGTGTTTCGTTTCTTGTAGAGACAATACCTCATCTTTACTTATCACTGCCTAGTGTTCCATTGTATATATGTGCTATAGTTTCTTCATCAACTCTTATTGCTAAATCTCTAAATTTTGAACACTTTTTGAACATCTCTGAATTTTCACCTCCTTGACTAACATCTAGTATTACTAGTTTAGAAATTAGGACACCCAGTGTACCTGACTAAAACTATATAATGGTATATTTTTCATGAAGTTCCCCCAAGTACCACAATTTGCAGCCAAAATATAGAGTCAGCCTGGACTCAAGACGCATTCAAAGCCTGTGGTTATAAATTCCCACTGCTGAGAACCTTCTCTCAACCTACTCAGTACTATCGTTGATTTTCTCAACACAAAATTGCATTATGTTAATTTCTTTACTTTATTAACAAATGCATACATACGCTTAATATTTAAGAAGCACTTGTAAAACGGGTATATTTAAAACGTATCAAAAAGAAGTTAGTGTTAGGTAGTTGGACTCTTATTATTGAGAGGGATGGCGGAATCCCCCACGAACGGGGCGCGCCATCTAGTGACTGCTTCGCCATACTACAACCCTACCCTCGGGATTGACCGTTGTGTTCTCAAGAGATGGCAGTTTTGTTTTGCTCCAGCTATAGTACAGGGAGTAACACAAGATTGATTTTTTTTTTTTGAGAACAGGTGGATATGGCATTCAACACTACAAAATAAATTTGGATCTGATCATATAACTAGGTTCAGAGACACAGAATGCTACCCTTAATCGGTGAGGCATGTTTCACTGAGAGAGAGAGAGAGAGAAAAAAGAAATGCCTTTAAGTACGTGTAGATAAATATTTGCAAAAAATGTGAGAGATGTCTATATTATTATTATTTTTGGCTTCTTGGGTCACACTTGGCTATGCCTAAGCGTTCCTGCTGGCTGTGTTCTGAGGGATTACTCCTGACAGTGCTCAGGAAAACCATATGGGACTTCTGGGTACAAACTTGGGTGGCCTGTGTGCAAAGTATACTCCCAACCTGCTGTACTATCGCTCCGGCCAGAGATGTCTTTTTGAGTGGAAGAACAAACACATCATAGTCATAATATTATACTCTGAATAAATATTAACTGAGGGGTAACATGTTTTGGAATAAACATGGCAGAACCAGAACGTCCATTGCTAGTAATGAGTTGGTACACAAAAGCTCAGTCTGTCAAGATGACCAACATTTCATATGGAAAGCTGGGGATGATAATACTGTCTTTGCTGTGTGCATCAGAAATGATATATATATATATATATATCATAATTTTAAGTACATTAAAAGTGGTTACTTTAAATGATCATTATTCTTTTTGGGGTTGGAGTGATAGCACAGCGGGTAGGGTGTTTGCCTTGCATGTGGCCAACCTGGCCGACCCAGGTTCGATTCCTCGCCTCTCTCAGAGAGCTCGGCAAACTACCGAGAGTATCTCTCCTGCACGCAAGGTCTGGCAAGCTATCCATATGCCAAACCCAGTAACAAGTGTCACAATGGAGATGTTACTGGACCCGCCTGAGCAAATTGATGAACAACGGGAGGACAGTGACAGTGATTTTTTTTTACTTTTGATAATTTGTATAAAAAAATTATCATTCTGATAATTTAAAAAACTGCTTAATTTACTGTTATTTATCTGTAGGGAGGGCAGTGTACATGATGGGCGTCATTACTTTCACTATGGGGTGAAAGGGAACATGCTACTTAGCAATATATGAAATTTGAGCAAAGTTATTTTTAATTAAATTATCTTGACCATTCAGATTTATTATCTACCATGTTTTTAAAAAATATTAAGGAAAACACGAGTTGCACTTACAGCTTTCAAGTTGCATTATACATGTTTGTACATCCATTGGAAAATTCTTGAGATCCATTGGACAGGAAAGTGTTAATGTCAATCTGAAAAACAATTTAAGGTAATTAACATTAAATTTGTGCTATTGAAATTTATTATTTTTGATATCTATTATTTCAAGTAAATTTATAATTAATATCAATAGGGTACAATTGGAAAGCAATTTTGTCTTGCTAGTGAAGACATCTACTCAAATAAAATTTGTTTTAATTTTGGTATGTCATATACTATAAAACAGCTGTAGGTAGCTGGATATGGCATTCAACAGATTATACTGCACTTTAGTACTGCACTGTCCTCCCATTGTTCATAGATTTGCTCTAGCGGGCACCCGTAATGTCTCACAACAAATTGTGAAACTTGTTGTTACTGTTTTTGGCTTATCGAATATGTCTCGGGGAGCTTGCCAGGCTCTGCTATGCAGGCAAGATACTCTCTGTAGCTTGCCGGACTCTCTGAGAGGGGTGGAGGAATAGAACCTGGGTTGGCCATGTTGGTCGCATCCAAGGCAAACACCCTACCTGCTGTGCTATCGCTCCAGCCCCCTTATTTTATTTTTTTTAAACTGGAAGCAATACCTTTTTTGGATTGTCAAGAATCTGTTGCCCCTGGATCTGAGAAAACAGACTTGGATCCAAAGAAACTTAACTTTAATCAATTACTTTCCAACACTTTGAAATTTAGTATCTCTTTCAACACTACAGGTGGACTTATTTACCTAAACTTGGTCACTAAAGGAAATTAATTCACCTCACTTCATTTCAATTTTTGTCATCTCTCAAATATTAATCACTGTCACTGTCACTGTCCTCCCATTGTTCATTGATTTGCTCGAGTGGGCCCAGTAACATCTCCATTGTGAGACTCGTTGTTACTGTGTTTGCTGTGTTTAGCATATCAAATATGTCATGGGAGCTTTCCAGGCTTTGCCATGTGGGTGGGATAATCTCAGTAGCTTGCTGGACTCTCCTACAAGGGTGGAGGAATTGAACCCGGGTCGGTTGGATAGGCCGTGCGCAAGGCAAATGCCCTACCGCTGTGTTATTGCTCCAGCTCAGAATTATAAATTTCTGAGATAATTATTAGGGCCGGAGCAATAGCACAGCGGGTAGGGCATTCGCCTTACAAGCGGCCAACATGGCCGACCCGAGTTCGATTCCTCCGCCCCTCTCGGAGAGCCCGGCAAGCTACCGAGAGTATTGGATATGCCAGACACAGTAACAACAAAAGTCTCCAATGGAGACGTTACTGGACCCGCTCGAGCAAATCGACGATCAACGGGAGGGTCTTTACCTTTACCTTTACCTTATTAGAATGCAAGATGATACAAACTAAGTCTAAGCAACATAAATGAAATAATATTAATATAGAATAACATAAACACTTAATAAACCAAATATTAACATTATGTTAAATATTAATATATTTAACATTATTATAAATGACTATTAACTATATTACAAATGTTTTAAAGCATATTATTAAATAATATTAATATCAATATATCACAACTATTATGAAAATATTAATAACATGTACTCTATAGAGATGTTGTGAGTATTACATGAATGGGTACACAGAAAGTGCTTAGAAAAGAGCTTAACACATAGCAAACACTAAATAACCAGCAGTTATTAACTAGCACATCCTGCACCTTTTCCTCAGACTTTCTCTTCTTTTCATTCTCAGCAATTCCTATCAGTTATAGGGAAAGGGCAAAGAAGGCTGAATAAAATAGCATCAAAAAATATTTAAGGTTTTAACAAAATGCAACCATCAGTCCTACTAAATGACATTGCCCAGAATAGCATTTTTATGTAACCCATAATCTGATTTATAATGATTCATGTTGTATAATTATTGCCTTTGGTAAATTACTTTCACTAACTTAATTCAAGAGACAAACATGCATGTGAAGAGGATAAATTTTTAAGAATAACAAGAGGATCTGCTCACAATTCATTTAAGTCAGAGTCCATAACACGTTACAATAATTCGAAGTTCGTTCTTTAGAAACATTTTTTCCCCAATCTTAGTCAGGCAGGAGATTCTACAAGCAGGATTCTAAAAATATGACCTTGTACATTTACCAAGTTGTCTCTCAAAAAAGCCCATTGTAAAATAAGGTGGACACAATGTTCTCTGTCTTGTCAAAGAGGAGATTACATGAGTACACATAGTACATTTTGAACATGCACACATTAATTCTCCAAACATGCGGATCGTTTTTGCTCAGCCAGTTTTAAATATTGGCTCAGAGAATTAATTCTGTGACCTTTTGTAAGGAAGTAAATAGCATTTTCAGAATCTTTTCTAGTATCCCACATCCATGGGATGTCAAATTCATATCCTGGCTATTTTTCTGGCATGACCTGAGAGAGGTTACATAATTCTCAAAAGAAAAAGCACATGAAAGGAATTCTTTGGCAAAGAAAAAATAGCTTGTAGAACTACTGTCATAAATCATATCCTTAAAAGTATTTATTTACTAGTTTTCTCATCTTTAAGCTATCTCACAGTTGCTTTTTTTTAAAACAGCATATGAAAGAAAAAAATGTGCCAACTTGCTGGGTAGAATTCTGAATTTATTTTTCAAAACATTGCATATAAATTAAAGATAGACCCTGATCACATCAAAGGAAAATCAAATCAAGATTCGATTAATCACATTCTACTGTTTTGGAAATGAACCTTTTCTTGTGTAAGAGAGGACACTCAGTTCTCTTTCTGAGTCAAAACTTATAAACAGGATATGCAGGTTTTTTTTTTAATTTTCCCTTAAAAATATCTTGGCGAAATGAAGTTGTAATATCTATAAAGATGTCTATAATCTCTGAGCAAAAAAATGACTTTACAAAGAAATGAAGTATGCCCAGATTTTGAACAAATATTTCCTATAGTATGGTGTCTATCTCAGCTATTAAATGCTGCGTTTAAGACTGCTTTATGACTCCATCGTAAGTGATTTTATTATTAAAATGATAGATATATATTATTAGTTCCTAAAATTTAAAAAAAAACTGCATCTTAACGGTCAACTTTGAAATATTATCTGTAATGTAAAAAGTAATACTTCTGTGTCTTTAAAAATCTTTGCAATATCACTGGCAGATTTAATAAAATTAGTTATGTTATTATTTGGAACTTTAAATGATAAATACAAATTATTATGATTTATGTGTAATATAAATATGCTTAAATTCTATTCTATAAATGAGAAATGAATATTTCAGACTGTATCAGCTATGAATTATCTCTCAAAAATGTTTAAAAGAAAAGATAAATAATTCTTATAAAAGAAATCAAATGTGGACCTGTTTTAATCTTTTGCACGTGGTTACTCAGATTTTCCAGCACCATTTGTTTAAGAGGCTGTCTTTACTCCATTTCACGCTTTGTCACCTTTGTCAAAAATTAGCTTACCATGTGTGTGGAGGTTGGATACTCTAGACTGAGCCATTGGTCTGAGAGTCTGTCCTTAGTCCAATACCATACTGTTTTGATCACTGTGGTTTTATAGTATAGTTTCAAACTAGGTAATGAGATACAATTGTCTCTCACAAGTTTCTTATTTTTCAGCATGGTTTCGGGAAATACACTGAGGAAAATATAGGCAGAAAGTTCTAAGCTCTGGACCTCAAAGTTATCTTTAGTTATCTTTACTGTTACAATACCAGTAGCAAAGGTTACAGAATCAAAAATAGAAAAATAGTACTGCATCAAATTAAAGAGTTTCTGCACAGTAAAAGAAACATGGACTAAAACAAAGTGATGGCTAACTGAATAGGAGAAAATATATGTGGTCTACACATCAGATAAAGGCTTGATACCCAGTATCTATAAAGTGTTCACAAAGATCAGCAACAAAAACTCAAAAACCCCATCAAGAAATGGGGAGAATAAATGAACAAGAACTTCTCTGAGGAAGACCATTGGCAGGTCAAGAGGGACATAAAAAACTGCTTACCATCATTTATTATTAGGAAAATCCAAATCAAGATGACAATGAGATTCTGTCTCATACTAGGGAGAATGACATGTAACAAAACTAATGAGAACAATTTTGTGTTGGTGAGGTTGTGATGAAAACGGAACTCTCTTCCAGTGCTGTCAAGAATGTAGTCTGGTTCAAAAAACTATAGGAAATACTATGGTGAGTTCTTGGTAAACTTAAAACTGAACTACATTACAGCCCAGCAATTCTGCTTCAGGTTATGTTCTCCCAGAACATAAAAACATTCATTCAAAAGGATGTATGCACACATTACCATTCACTGCATCACTCTTACTATAGTTAGGATTTGGAATCCACCTAGATTTCCAACAACAGATTCGTGGATCATAAAGCTGTAGTATATATACACAACAGAATATTACTCTATTGTGTAAGGAATGATGAATTCATTCCTTTTTTGTGTAAGAAATGATGTGTAAGGAATGATATGTAAGGAATATTGTGTAAGGAATGATGAAATCAGGCAATTTTCTGCACCATGGATGCAACTGAAAGTTATCAAGTTAAATTAAGCCAGAAGAAAAGGACAAACACAGGAGGTTATTACTTGTATTTAGAGTAACTGAATGAAGAAATGCATTTGTTGAAGCGGGGGTGGGGGAGGGAGATGCCTGGATCACCCTTGGTCCCTGAGTATAGGGAAGAGAAGGAAATGAATAGAGTAAAGGTGAAGGAAAGAAGAGATAGATGAGAAGCAACGGGGGTTAGGTGACCAGGTACATTGATGGTGTTAAGCATTAAGAGAGCTAAATATCCAAACCACAGAATTAATAACACTGACTCACAAGAGTCAAACTTTAATAACCAAATTCAAAGGGTTCTTGCCAAAATGCCAGGCTAGAGATGGAGTGGGTTGGTAGGACAGGAAATCTGAGAAGACTGATGGAAAGAAGCTGTCACTGGTATTGGGATTGATGCAGGAACACCGTCAAAAACCCAACTCTGAATAACTTTGTAATTCTAGATGCTTTATTAAAATAAAATTTTGGAAGAAAAAATCAAATAAATATAAACCTTATAAAATATAAA